TTTCGCATGTTTCACGCTCATTTCAAAAAAAACTGAATGAGTATTTTTTGAATAACTTTTGATAGAAACAAGATAGAGAGCTGCGGTTTTCACCATTGGAAAGAGCTGATAAAGATGCATCGAATGGCACATTATAAAGTTTTCGGACCTGCATGTTATATGGTTTTCAATTGATCTTTTTAAGAACAACTCTATCCCGTAAGATGTTTACAGTGAAGTGTCAATAATCAGGTGCGCATTCAAACTACTAATTGAAGAACCACAAACTGTGGAAGGCTGAGATGAATAATACATATTCTAGTTGAGCCTTTACTACGATTTTCTTGCAATTTCCGTGAGAAATGCTCACTTTTATGCTTTTTCCTTCATAAAAAAAAAACATTTTCCCGATAGTTAGAAAATTGAATACAAATACTTCAGAAACCAATATTACAAAAACTTATAATACACGATTCGATGCATCTTCATCTGCTCTTTCTAACGGTGAAAAGCGCAGTTCTCTATCGTGTTTCTATCAAAAATTATTCGAAAAATACTCACTAGCATTGCTATAACCGTGAAACATGCGAAAAAAACAGCTCTTAGAGGAATTTCGTTATTATAACTTTAGTTGAAATATGATTAAATAGCATAGAAAAATAGAACATTCTTTTCTCTATCAGACTATATAGAGAGAAATTTCTTAAAGCTTATTATACGGTATTAAAGTGTCAAAATCACTACTCTTGGTATGCCCTAAGTACGTTAAAAGAATTTATCTTCTACTCTAGTTTGGACAGTATCATAATAAACAATGATTTTATCAAGTCTTTAGCAGATAGTTGTTGTTTTCATTTATTAAAATTTCTTAATGATTGTTGTTATTTCTTTCTTTTTTTCAGGTGATCATTACAATGACTATGATGATTCAGACAGTAACAATCGAAGTAGTTCAAAAACAAGTAATGGTAATAGTGGAAAACGTCATAAAGATTTTGTCGAATTAGATGGTCGTTGGCGATCAACGAATCCTGGAATTATTGAAGATTGTGTACATAAAGTGGAAGATGTAGCACAAAAAGTTAAAGAATTAGTTTTAGAACAACGACGACCATCACACGATCATGAACCTGACTTCAGGTATTTATTTAACTATTCATCACCTCTTGTTTTCTTCGCATAAATGGCCATGATATCATTGATCGTCTCATCTTTCGACTTTTATTTTGTCCAAGTCATTTCAACTAAACGTGATTGTTAATTGATTTTAAATAGAACGTGACTATTTTGTTTTTTTTTGTATGTTTGTTTAGTGATGATGACGATCATTCATCCCGCCGCCGACATACAGAATTTACCGACTCTCCACAGATACAACGAAAAGATAATATTGACAATAATTACACAGACAAAAAATCAAAGGTTTTACTCATGAGTCTTTTTTTATTCTATCGCTTACGAGGAAACCTACGGATATGTACACCTCCGCTTTTATTCATTCGTACGTCGATCAACAGATGATATCAAGATTGTAAAAATCTAAAATAGATTTGAGTCGATGGCTTTTCCTTCAAGAGTTATAGGCATTTTTCTGTTTTTCTCAGCGAAAAATAGTAAAAATAGAAAAATTCAGATCTCCATCCAGAAAAGTACATAAAAGCTCAAATTTCTTTCTATAGCTCTTCAATATATCTGTGATATTCATACAAAGTTTTACCTTTACAACTCATTCCATTCCCGAGTTATTGAGGTTTAAGTTTTCCATCGATTAGCCCTTTGATAGGCTCACAATAGAATGGCTTCCAAAATCGTTAATTTTCTACTAGAACACTAGAACTGTTGAAACTTTCGTAAATGACATGATTTTGTAGTCTAATTTCGTTTATGAACACAAAAAAGACTTTTCAAGCTGATTGTAGATGCTAAGGTTTCTAGAGATCCCCTTGAAAACCGAAGTTACAAAACATTGAAGTTATATAATTTCGATTAGTTTTTTGTGTGTGCCCATCAAAACCATGTCATTGACGAAAGTTTCAACAGTAGAAAATTAACGATTTTGAAAGCCATTCTATTGTGAGCCTATCAAAGGGCTAATCGATGGAAAACTTAAACCTCAATAACTCGGGAATGGAATGAGTTGTAAAGGTGAAACTTTGTATGAATATCACAGATATATTGAAGAGCAATAGAAAGATATTTGAGGTTTTAACTACTTTTATGGACAAAGATATAAATTTTTCTATTTTTCGCTGAGAAAAACAGAAAAATGCCTGTAACTTTTGAAGGAAAAGCCATTCAGCCTAGGCATGCACCAATACAATATATTGGGTTCTAATAATATTGGTCACTCAATCTATTGAGACCAATAATTCTTGACCGTCCAATATATTGGGTTTTCGCAATATTATTAGATATGGGTCACTTGCGTTCGGCCTACTTTTACAGTACAGAATCATGCTTTATATCTCGTTTTGAATCAAAAAATAACCCAATTGGGCATGCACCGATTAATACACAATATTAGAGCATTTAGCCAAGTCGTTTCAAATCAGTTATAAAAAACTTTCAGAGCTGCCGAACGCTTCATTTTGTAGGAAAATGTTTTCTCTACTAAACTGAAGTGCTACAAAAATTTTAATGTTATATATAGAGAAAATACAATAAATCAAAAACGCACTATAATCATAGAAAAATAATCGTCTGTCGCTTTTTTCATAATTTTGCTCAGTTTTTGATGCTTATATTTCTGTCGCAGATAACACTAAAATGTCTTTTTGCACTGCAGTTTGGTAGAGCAAACATTTTTTCTACAAAATGAGACATTCGGCAGCTCTAAGCACGTTTTTAAAACTGATTCGGAACGATTTTGCTGGATGCCCTAATATCGATTGTTAATCGATGTATGCCTAATCCCGATCGGGATATGCTTCCTCACGTTTTTATGAAGGTTAACGATATTAAGGTTAAAAAGTTGGAAAGTGTATTGCGGAACCCAATATTATTGTACAATATTATTGAGTAACTAATGTTATTGGTCCCAATATATTGGATAGCCAATAATATTGTACAATATCTTCAATACTGATTGGTATTGGTGTATGCCTAATTCAGTCGAACCCCTTGTAGCTTTTTCCAACCGCGATATCCTCTATCGATCGACCTATGAATGAATGAAAGCGGGAGGAGTACATGTCCATAGGTTTCCTCGTTAGTGGATTTTGTAAGATGGACTACATATTGGTTAAAATGTCCTCATGAGATGCAGGAAGAAGATAATAAGTCTTTCAACTGACATCATGTCATTAAATTTTTCAAAAGACGTTAACCATTTTTTTCATCCTAACAGAGTTAAAACGGGAACGTATAAAAGAAAAGGTACTGAACGAAATAGTCACTTATCGTTTAGTCATAACCTCTTACGCTTTGCAACTCTTATCCATTCTCAATTCGACGTTATGTTACTCGATATAAGAGTACATAGTTCAATGTTTAGAATTCTATTTATCGAAAATATATTCAGTCATCTCATCTCCATTGTCAAGGATGTTGTGAACAACAATTGAAGTTACTTTATAGCACAAGTGAAGTGTTTCAGGATAAGAGATTTTCTCTTCCAGAAACTAGAACAACATTTTCACAAAATTATTTGACCATTGTTACAGTAAATAACAAAATAGGCTCTACTTTATTTTTTTTGCGTACAAATGAGGCATAGGAAAAAGCGTATTAATCTGTATATGTTCATACGTTTCTGAATATGCCGAGATTAAGTTGATTTTGAACCCTACGTAGTTTTTGTTTATAAAAAAAACTGTGTTTCTCGAACTTAATCGTACATAAATTTAATTTTTTAGTTATTTTTATTTTATCCTTTTTATTTATTTTTTCTTCTCGAGATATTCTATCAGACACTCGATTCGGTAAAACATTAATTTTGCAGTGTGTTTTGAGTTTTTGCCCTACCCTAGTGATTGCCTGTGTGTTTTTTTAATGCACGTTTTGCAGTGTATTCTATTTGTTGAATACTTGTTAAATTAGTTTGTTTCTTTATTGTTGTTAAGGATAGTGATTTTGAATCAAGTGAAAAGCAGCAGCAACGGCGAACAACAGTGAAGTCAAATGAACAATCGGTCCCAGTTAAAGAAATAAAACAAGTAAGAAAGATTTTTAATATTTTGCTAAAGAATCAGTTGCTATTGCCTCAAAGAAAGCGTTTAGAAAATCGTGTAATAGATTCACAACATTACACTTGCTTTGAAATAAATTCAGATTCGAAGATACTTCGATGCAGTCCAACATACACTATAAACAGCTCTTAGATGACTGTTACACGTTTTTCTACGCACGCACCAGTTAAAAACTGGTGTTAAAACTTCCACGAAAATTGTTATAAGTCGCCTATAAAGAATTACTCAGAATCGCGAAACCTCTCATTTTGTAAAGAAATGTTTGGACTACAATCTCATGTAAGTGGCAAATTTTTAACGTTATCTTTAGTACAAATATGAGCATTTTAAAATGTACTAAGTTCAGAAAAAAACTCTGTTTGAACAGGTTTTTTTCTAAGTTTAGTACATTTTAGAATGCTCACGTTTTTGTTAGAAATAAGTTTAAATTCTTTTTCACAGTTTAGTTTTAGTAGAGCAAATATTTCTCTATAAAGTGAGAGATTCCACGACTCTGAGTAATTCTTTATAGGCAACTTATAACATTTCATGGAAGTTCTAACACTACTTTTTAACAGGTGTATCCCTACGTTTTTGTTACTCAGATGCAACGAGCGACACTTACGAGGGAATCTCCTGAAGTGCTAAAAACCTTTTTGAATGGGACTATTTTTAAAATATAGGCTCTCATGAACTAAGAAGAACCCCAACTTGGTTTGTGTACAATCAGTTATGTTGCTGAAATATTGAATTTTTACCCGAATTTTCCCCATAGTACCTGGATTTCAACCAAAATCGGAGTTTTGAATTTCATATTGAAACTTATTATATGTTGTAGCCGAGATCATTTCTAGTTCGATGCAAAACAGCCGAGCTGAAAACCTCATCGCGCTGCGGTGAAAGAATTTTTTCAAAACTTGCTCCATATTTTACCTTTGATACCCATATGGAAAACGTTTTCTCATCGCAGTGGAAAGTGATTTTCAGCTCGATCTTTTTTCATCGGACTACAAATGATTTGGGCTACAATATGTGATTAGTTTCAACATAAAATTCACAACGCCTATTTTGGTTGAAATCCCGATCCCATGGGGGAAAATTCGATATATCAGCAACAAAGCTGATTGCGCTCCAACCAAGTTGGGTTTCTTCGTAGTCCATGAGAGCCTACATTTTAAAAATAGTCCCATTCAAAAAGGTTTTTAGCACTTCATCAGGTTCTCTTGTAAGTGTTGCTCGTTGCATCTAAGTAATAAAAACATTAACAGTCATCCAAGAGCTGTGCATGGTGGACTTCGAATCTGAATTTATTTCAAAGAAGGTATGCTGCTGGGAATCTGTTACATGAATTTAATCTTTGTCATGTCTCTGATTAAATATCGAATTAGTTCACACGTCAATATCAATATTGTCAAAAAATTTATTATTTTGTCATATTTAGCCTGCAAAAACAGCTATATCTCCTCCCGTCCAATTACCAAAACCTGTCGTTGCCACTCCTCAAATTGATTTATTATCGTCTGATGATTTCGCTCCATTCCAAGCAGCTCCCGTCACTCAAGATGCAGACGACGATTTTGGGCATTTTCATGAAGCAACCGTCACACAATCTGTGCAACAATCTCCACTATTTTTTACTAATCCGAATCCAACAACAACAACCACAACGTACGTACAGTTTTTATATAAAAAACGTTAACAGAATTTAGTATCATTGATTTCTTGTTCAAATAGCATTAGAATATGAGAAATACTCTCGTCTGAGACTATCATAAGACGAAAGTTTTAGAACAATGTGTTTATTGTGCAGTTAAACATTTACTCTGTTTATTTTCAGTACCCCTGTTAGTCCCACATCGTTATCGCTTGATCCATTTGATTCGTTATTACCTTCTCCATCGTCTACAATCAACAATTCGTCTACTGCTGGCCCAGTTCTAAAACCTATACCAGCATCTGCTGCTACCGCCACCACTCAAAATAACCAAAATGATTTTGATTTTTTTATGTCAACATCGTCTCAACCACAAATTTTCGGTCAACCATCATCGCAACAATTTAACGCTTTTCAACCGCAAATGACAACGTCCACATCATATCAATCTATCCCAAAAACACATGGTGGAATAATGCCAAGTAACAATAGTTTCGATGTAAGTCACACTCAAATTTATCTTGTTTACAAGATTTGATGGTTATGATAAACACTGAGAAGAGCGTCGCTCTGACAATATTTTCGCTAAAAATGCACGAAATTCTTTTCCAAAATATTTCAATTTGGTTTTCTTGCAAAACATTCTCATTCAAAGAATGCAAAAAACTAAACAATACGACAAATTTTAATTATCTCTATGTAAAAAACCTTTAATTAATGAAATTTTTTGAATTTTTCAAAAATCTTAAATTTTCGTTTTAAATTACAGTCTTGATTATCTAGAACAATTGAGGAAACTCGCACCAGATGTATTTTGTAGAGCAAACATTTTTCCACTCACACATAGTTAAAATATTGAAATTAAGAAATGCTATTCTCATTAGAAAAGACATCATACTTTACAAAAATTCGTATTTATATTTAGTAAAAGTTGGTTTTCAATAGTATCAACTAACGGTGGGTCAAACTGTAAATGCCTTATCGTTTTACTCATTTTGTCGATTTCATAGAATTTAAAAGGATCATTGTGAAAAGTGAAGAAACATTGTATCTTCTAGCGTCAAATGTGCTTTATCAGAATTGATTCCAAGTTAATCTCAATTTATTTTAGTCATTATTCTTGTTTGATCATTTTTCCAATGTGTGCTATTTTAGTAAAATTTTCTTAAGGTGTCAATCATACCAAGAAAATGACTGAATAATTTGAGTCGAGCTTAAACCCTCTCTTAAATTTTTTTTCTTCTATACAATCAGCAATATGAGTAAAATGATGATGCACTTACACGTTATCAAATCTTTATGCTACAGAAACGTAATTGACATTAAAAAATAATTCTAAATAAGACGAACATTTTTTCAGAGTGTTTTCTGACTCCATATTCTTTTACAAATTTTCTTAACGCTTTCATCGATGCTCTTCTAAAAGCGTTTCATTAACTGATCACAAACTGAGATAATGAAACGAATTTACTATGTTCGACTTCACTTTGGATTGTTACATCGAATAATTATAGTTTTCACATCTTGCTAGCAATAAAAAGCGAACTCATCTATCTTAAATGATGTAAATCTGTACAGTGATAATTTGAGTTGTACTTCTTAGTCTTTGCAATTGATTTCAAAATATTGAATACTAATTTTCAGGCTGTATTCAAGAATAATACATACTCGACTGCTCAACAAACTCAAGAAGCTATAAGAAAACAGGTTTGATTTTCTTTCAGCTCTATTCTTTGATTCTAATGCTTTTTCCACTTCTTCTTTCAAATTGGGACGGCTCGCAGATAATAACAATATGAATGTATTGTGTGTAAAATTGGACGCACATCAAATCTAATAATTCTTCTTTTCATCATTATTTAGAACATGTGGAGTGATTTGAGTGGTAAAATAGATATCAGTTTAAACACATTATCACCGCATAGTCGCGGTGGCAAACAACAAAATTCTCTTCCAATGAATCAATTAACTAACAATGGTAGATAAACAGATAATTTTCACATAGAATTCATTCAACTTGCTCTTTTTTTTCTAGGTTTTCAAAGTCCCACCAGTCCAACAAGTGGATTTTCTCCAATTAATAGTCAATTATTTCAACGTCCAAACACATCAACAACTCAAAGTAAGATTAAATATTGACTTACACTATGGTAAAAGAGCGTTCGAACCAGACACTATTTTATTTGGCTAGATTATACACACCAGTTGATAAACTTTAACCGTTGACAGACAATCTGTACAAGTTTGTGAACTATGACAGCAAATTATATGATGTAAAATTTTTATTTTTTTTATCTCATTGTATTCCATCTGAAGGTAGACTAACTCTTACAGTACTGGAGTATATTCATTTCAAGCATATCACGGTTCTTGTATAGTTTGTGTAGTTGAGTAATACAACTTAAGTCAGTATTTCGACGACGATATGCGTCCATTTTATTCTCCCAACAAAAATTGCATCATTTTTCAGCGATTTTTATTGTCTGTCTTCGACTTGTTCGTCTACCAAAATAGAAGTCTTTTGGTGTCATACTGATCAGAATCATAAAAAAAGTATATTCTCTGAAACAGTAAAAAATGTGACATGCCATGGTACAAAAAGAAACACAATTATGGAGACATTCATAACATCAAAGTTTTTCTAAGTGTTTGATCGTCTGTATTGCCTTTCCGTAAGGGCGACTATAAGGTTCAGGGTGATGTTGTCAAAACGAGATATGTATGAGCTCGTAGAGAAAGACTTGCTCTATATTAATATTGTACGTTATAGAGTAAAGTATTCTCTACAAAATAAGACTACTCACAACTCTCCAAGGCTTTTCGTTGAGAAAATACGAACTTTTTAAAGTTTGTTACTTTACGCTGAAAAACTCCAAAATGATCATAACTCTACTAAAAAACATGGCGGAGAGCTGGAAGACATCTCATTTTATAGAAAAATCTTTACTCTACAAGACTAACTATTTGAAAAATTTATCAAGTACTGAATGGAAGAGAAAAAAGATTCGAAAGTAAAAAGGTAGAGTTTTTCAGCGTAAAGTAACAAACTTTAAAAAGTTCGTATTTTCTCAACGAAAAGCCTCGGAGAGTTGTGAGTAGTCTTATTTTGTAGAGAACACTTTACTCTATAACGTACAATATTAAACTCAAATAATAAAACAAATTTGTAAAAAGGTCTGAAAGAACAAGGGGTTATGTTTCATTGTCTCTGATGGTGCACATTAGAATTCGACAATATATAGACGACTGGATAGAGCAAATCTTTTTCTACAAGCTCATACATATCTCGTTTTGGGGGCAATAACTTATAGTAGATTACGAGACTCAATATTCACATGTATCTTTTCTGAATATAAAAATATTTTCTTCATGTTAAAGACAAAAGAAATCAAAATGCGTACACATTTATTCTAACTATGATGAAAAAATGACGAGAACTTAGGAGAAGACAAGGAAACTTAGACTGAACCATCCGATAGAAGAAAAAAGAGAAATTAAGTTTCAACAATCGAGCTTTATATAATCGAACAGATATATTAATTGCTTTTAACGAAGCCTATGATAGTTCACTGTTCGTCGACCTGCAGTTTCTCTATAACGGGAACTCTTTTCAATTGAAGTTCATTAAACGGAAACTGAAAAATAGTTCCCATTGTTGGACGAAGTTCAACAGTTCACGTTGATAGGGGATGAGGAATGATCCACTAGTTCAATTTCCTTCGAATAAGACACTGCAGTTGTTTTTGTTGATGCTTTCATTCGTAACGCTTTGTTAGTTTGCTTGCTTTTTCAAAATGTTCGCTATATGAAGATATAATAAACTAACAAAGCGTTACGAAGGAAAGCATCAACAGTTTCTCGTTCAAAAACAACCGTAGCTTCCCATTTGAAGGAAATCAACTAGAGCCATTCCTCCTTCCTATCAACGGGAACTGTATTTTCATTTTTCGTTTAATAAACTTGAATTGAAAGGAGTTAACGAAAACTGTGAACTGTTACAAATCTACTTTTAATAGAAAGAAGATAGTTAGTCAGTGCACGTTTAACAACATGTATGGTGAAAGCAGCAACTACCTCTCGAAGTAGTATATTCCAGTTTCTAGTTGTTTTTAGTAAAAAAGAAAAATGACTTGTGATTTCGCGCCTAGTTGTCCATATATGATAAACTTAATTGACTGTTTCAATGTGTTTACTCCTGAGAGACCGACACACTATCGAAGAATTGATGTTGTAAGCTGCATTTCGAACCTTACACAGAAAATCTCACACTATCAAGGACAATCGTTGAGAAATATCTAAGGTATTATTCTGCACGCAAAACAGCAAGAACGCGTTGTCGTTGACGATCCGAACATGTGCTATTTCATCAGGATAACTTTAAGAAGAACTTAATTTCACTTTGTCACGTGGAAAATCATAGAAAGAGTCTAAAATTTAAAGTCTATCTTATTTAAATATGTTTTTTTAATTTTCTGTTTAGATATGAGGGGTCTTCGTCCAGCACTACTGAAGTAGAAACTATTTATTCTATTTATTTTTTATTTATTTTTTTCAAATTGTTACTTTATGACATTCACAACTGCTACTTTTATTGAGCTTTGTTTGCAAAATGTATATATGTACTCTTCTCTTTTACGCACTACCGTGTGTATAATTGAATTTTCAAGTTAAATTTTCTACAAAATGCGAACAAACAGGTAGCAAATACATTTGTCTACTCTCTCTATCTTTTTTGAACAGTGCTCTTCTTCTTTGTGCTTATTTTGCTGGAATTTATTTCTATCGTGCATTTAATTAATTTTTATTTATAAAAATAAAAAGTAATTTACAAACATGAAGGAGTGTAAAAGGAATATTCCTAGTATTGGTGCTATATGAAGGATATTTGGATCATAAACGATCACACTGAATATAATGCGTATGTGCATCGATCTGAGAACATGGACGTTTATTGACGTGAATTATTTATTTTAAATCACGGCTAATTGAAATAACGAATGATCCTGATTACTCGCTTACACAGCCGAGAACAAAACTATACGTCAAATTTAATAATCAAACGATTTTATGTTGGTCAGAAGGTTCATGATCGTGTATAAATCCAAGTGGCAATGCGATGGTTAAGGCATATTTTTTCTCACGTAGAGTGATCATACCAGTTAATAACTTGTTTTGACTTGATGACATGCAACTGATGCTTCGTTTTTCTCTCTGTTAAATAGCAGATTAGATTATTTATGAAGAATCCGAATCTGCAGTCAGTTTCGCATACGCCTGCAAATGTTCAATGTTACTTTTCAGCGTTTTCCTTGAATGTGAACGCTACAACACGTTGCGTTTAATGTTCTAAAAAGTCAAATTTTAACGTTGTATTTGCTAATATCGTGTTCCATTGCCTTATCTAGACCTGTAAACGTTCACCGTTCCTTTTTAGCGTTTTCGTTGAAAATGAACGTGAGCTTTGTTTTAAAGCTAAATTCTACAGTGAATGTTTCTGGTATACATTAAAATAGCCCTCTCTTCAAAAAAAAGGTTGTTTCTCTTTTTAATATGCAGTTAGGAGGACGTATGTTGGGAAATAGAGAGAATATGGATGGATATCGGTATTTCTCCCACAGAATCTTAGTTTACATTAGACAATACGAACACCGTTAGTGTAAAATAAAGCTCACGTTTCATGTTCAACGAAAACGCTAGAAAGGAACGGTGAACATTTCCAGGCCTAGATAAGGCAGTGGAACACGACATCGACAAATACAACGTTAAAATTTGACTTTTAAGAACATTGAACGTCAACATGTTGTAACGCTCACGATCAAGGAACGGAACGTGAACTTTTTACAAGCCTAGTTTCAGAGACAGGAAAGTCCAGCTCAGGTTTAGGTCATATATTCTAAGAATTCATCTTGAGCCTAGTACAAAATATTGCAAATTCACACTACTCCCAGAATTTTTTCACACAGTGGACCGTCCAGGTTCAGGTCAGGTCCCAGTCTAGGCCTATTTTTTTCAAGGGCAGATCCTCAGGTTAAGGTCCAACTTTATAGGTCAGGTTCAGGTCCGAGGCAAAATTGTTCGTTTCATCGAATAACAGTACAGTAAACCACCTAAAAGTTAGACTTTCTAGTTTCTTCTACAAATTTTGACCTTGACCTGTGCAGTACAGTGTGCGTCCAGGCGGACATTTAGAGAACAATCGAAGATGAGCTTTTTCGAAATTCAAATAGCCTGGAATACACTTCGATGTACGGGCTATCTGATGATGAAAAAAGTTTTGTACCAGCTGACGAATTTTCGGAAAGAATCATACCTAAAAAGCACCTTTCACCAGTAAAAAATTAGACGTCTAGAGTGCAGTAAAAACGAAAAAAAAACTTGTTGGATCTAATGGAACGCGACAGTCGAAGCATAGCGTGACAACTTTAGCTAAGGATTTTGATATTTGCTATAGAAGCAGTCCGAAAGTCTATAAATTCAGATATACTCTTTTCAATAGTGTACGTTACAAAGTTCCAAAACACTTACATGTGGGTTTTCTAGAGATCCGATCTATGGAGAACTCAGATGAAAGTCTCTTGGAATTTTGTAAAGCACGCCATTGGAAAGAGCATATCTGAAAACCTATAAAAAAGTGTTTATAGACTTTCGGCCTGCTTCTATAGCAAATGTCCGCCTGGCCTGTGGAAGTGTGTAGATCACATGTCTATGTCCAGGTATCCTGTCTCTGGTATAAAGAAGCTTTTAAATTTCTTAATATGTACCGAGATAAAAACTAAACTTGTTTAAACTCTTGGAAAACTCATTAAGTCTAAACTTCTTTCCACATACGAAATATAGATGATGGTTTATAACCTTCCTTCAAGTATAGTAGCTATATTTCCCTAGAAGAGCAACTTCTTATGACTAGAAGAATAGTGGGAAAATCTGAACTAGAAATTCGCTCAAAAACTTACCAAAATAGGAAAAAGTCAATTTTTGTTGAAAACTTACTTGTTCATAAACGATAAAAACAGAACCAGAAACGATTCTCTGCTCTTTGAACTTACTGTTGAAAACATTATATGAACTGAACTTAAATTCTCACAAAAAAATGATTTCATGCTAGAAAAAGTTTTCAGAAATTGTCTTATCAGTGTAATGAGATTCTTCAAGTTCTCCGAAGCTCAATCTGGTTCAAACTTTGCATAACTGTTATTCTATACCTGCTACGTTTATAAGAATAGCATCAACTACCGTCGTTCTTCCTAGTACTTTTTATGGATTTTCCAAAATCGCTTGATTTTCAAGTAGAATCTATTTTCCTGAGGCCGTGACAACCTTTATGAAAACATGAAGTCAGATGCAGAATGAGCGAACCATGAACAACACAATGAATTTTGGCTCGAGTAACTAGCTATTCATGAAAATTTTTTCCCATGTACCGGCAAAAAAAACAAAGAAGGAGTCAACAAGGAGAACAATAAGAATGAAAATCGGCCCCATTTCGAATATTCCAAAAAGGCATCCAAACTGAAAGACTATGTGATTCCATGGTTTCCTAGAGTCCTGGTTTTGTTCGGAGTTAATATCTGTAAGATTTTTTCCGCCGCCCAGGAGCCTAGATTGTTGCTTCTATTGTAGATCAAAAGAAAGGTCTGTCAAAACTGAACAAACCGAATCGCAATTTAGCGCGTCTTAACTGTGCGAACACCCTTTCCCTGGGCAAGAGTATCTAAGCAAATATAAAATGGACACTTAAAGTTTAGATCACTTTGATTTTTCGGCTCCTTCTCTGACGAAGGACCATGGCCAGCTGCTCAACTTCGATTTTTGCCGATAGATACTGTCCTAGTGATAACCCTAAAAGGATTTGGGTGTAGAGCTCTTCCTTCAAAAGTAAAGAATTCTTCTATTTTTCCCGGCCCAGAATCTTGCCTATATTTAAAATATTCATAACTCCGTTAAAAAGTGTAGTAAAGAACTGAAGTTTTTTCTCAGATGTCTTCTATTCGAACAGAAAATTTTAGCCTCCTAGCTCTTTTCATTGCTGAGTTGTAGAATTTTTTTAAAATGTTAAAGAAGCGTGTTTCCCATGGACAGATAACTCATGTAGTGTCAACAAGTACAGTGAAACAACATTCATTAGTTGCAGCTGGTGTGAAAGACAACTTTGCTTTAACCATTTCTTCACACAATACCACATTCATTAATGTTTTAGTTAAGTTCTTTTTCTGTCTCCATTTATGCTACTCTCCCGTTCTCGTTTTAGTTGCAGCGTATCTCATGTTGAGACCAGTTTTATTATTTTATTTTAGGTTTTCAGGTTTCATAAAATAGTTTTCTGTGCTAATAGAAGACATCTAACTGTGCCACAGAAAAGAATTTCAGCTCTTGATTACTCTAGTAAAACCTCTAAAAGTTTTCTGACAGGATCCGAGACATATCCTATCATATCTTACTAAGATTTCGCTTTAACTTCGTAGGATCCTAACAAAATCCTACAGAAACCAGTGAAATCAGATACATCCGAAAGTCATAGGATTTCCTAAGGGCACGTTTCAAAATGTATTCCGGTCGGTCGGTCGCTATTCTTCTACTCCGTTGTTACCCTATTCCTCTAGTCCGCTGTTCCCCTATTCCGCTATTCCTCTATTCCCCGACTATTCCTCTCTTATTCCTGTCATGCCTCTATTCCGCTCTTTCTCTATTCCTCAATTATTCCTCTATTATTGAATTTAAGCTCTAATTTATTTTATTTTATTTTGTATAATTCGGTTTCTTTGATTGTATTGTTGATACATACATCGACACATATAGAGTACTGTGGGGGAAAAAGAGACACCTTTTCAATTTTTTGTCGTACTTTTATTAGTTCTGAGTCGTTTTTGGTCGGGAAAACTTACTATTGAACATGATGGTAGAGCGAACATTTTTCTACACGTTGATGTAAAAATCTCCTAGAAATCTCTGTCCGATTTTCAACCACATCCAAAATGCGAAGAGTCCCATGAAAGTGTCTCTTTTTCCTCCACTCGGGGTAAAAAGAGACACTCCATTCAAATACATGGAGTTTTAATTAATAATTGACTGCGAGGTAAGCTTTAGAGATAATTAGTTAAAAAACACCTTATTTTGTAGCCCAAACCTTCCTCTCTCTAC